CTTATCGACTAATAGTCGAACATAGGATATGACTGACTGATCAATCTGAACTTGAACATGAACATGATTATTTATTAATAAAGGCTAGCTTAAAACCGAAAGCTAGTATTTCCTTTATTAATAAAATACGGGGCGTTACATCATCTACGTATAGTACTAAGAATACCACTACGTTTCTGTTGCTCTTTTTGTATACACAACTTTCGTCTTGACATTGATCAAATCCATAGGACTTGATCACCTCGTCAAAACGAATATTCCAAGACCTAGAAGCTTGTTTTAATCCATAAAGAGACTTCTTTAGCTTCCATACTCGATGCTCTTGGCCTTTCTTCACATAACCCTCGGGTTGCTGCATATAGATGTCTTCATCCAAGTTTCCGTTAAGGAAAGCTGTCTTGACATCCATTTGCCAAACCTCATAGTCCATGTGACTTGCTATGGATAAGAGAATCCGGATCGACTTAAGCATGGCTACCGGTGAGAAGGTCGCATCATAATCGATTCCCTCTTTCTGAGTGAAACCCTTCACAACCAGCCATGCTTTGAAGGAAATAACATTCCCGTCAGATCCTCTCTTACGCCTATAGACCCATTTGCACCCAATGGCTTTCTTGCCTTCAGGAAGGTCCCTAAGGTCGTATACATCCATAGCATCTATAGATTCAATCTCAGAGTCCATAGATTTTTGCCAAGAATCTGCATCTACATCTTGGATTGCCTCATTTTAGGTCCAGGGATCACTATCATGCTCTTCACTTGGGATCAAGTCTGAAGACTCTCCCACAAACATGAAACGATCGGGCTGACGAACAACCCTCCCACTACGATGAGGCAATTCAGGTGTAAATACATCAGAGTCAACGCGTTGTGCAGTCTCTTGTGGCATATCCTCTTGCACACTCGGTATGCCATTGTTTGCCCTCAACTCTTTGAGAATAATCTCACTCTTGGACTTATGCTCACTCATATAGTCATCCTATAAAAATCGGGCATTGGTGCTAACCACTACCCTCCGATCTTTAGGACTATAAAAGTAACCACCTCTCGTTCCCTTTGGGTAACCTACAAACAGCCGTACTTCTGTTCTAAGTGCCAACTTAGCAGCTTCCTTATCCAACACATGTGCTGGGCAGCCCCAAATCCGAATGTGGTTTAACTGGGCTTGCGCCCGGACCACAATTCTATTGGAGTTTTTGGAACTGATTTAGAAGGTACAAAGTTAAGAAGGTACGCCGCCGTTTCCAAGGCATATCCCCAAAACGAGGTAGGTAATGAAGCATAGCTCATTATCGATCTCACCATTTCCAACAGAGTCCTATTCCTCCTCTCTGCAACGCCATTCTGTTGGGGAGTACCAGGCGCAGTCAGCTGGGATGTAATCCCATTCTCTAATAAGTATTGCCTAAATTCATTGCTAAGGTATTTGCCACCACGATCAGATCGCAGTGACTTGATACGTTTCCCTTGGCGGTTCTCCGCTTCTGCCTTGAATTCTCTGAACTTGTCAAAGCATTCAGACTTGCGGCGCATCAAGTAAATGTACCCATATCTTGAGTAATCGTCAATGAAAGTAATGAAATACTCAAAACCACCTCTAGCTTGAATAGACATAGGCCCACACAAATCAGAGTGAATCAATTCCAACACATCATTGGACCTATTCCCCTTGGCCTTAAAGGGCCTAGAAGTCTTCTTGCCTTCCAAAAGGATTCGCAGACTGGAAATGGTTCAACTTGGAAAGATTCCAAGAAGCCATTACCTACCAGCCTTTGGATCCTCCTTAGATTGACATGACCCAACCTTAGGTGACAAAGATATGTCTAATTCGACTGAGAAGGTTCCTTTCTCTTGTTTAGTGATGAAGATGCATGAGCCTCAGTCACAGTATGATATGCACAAGTAATAGTATAAAGATTGTTAACCAACATGCCAGAACAGATAAAAGAGTTATTTCTCATAATAACAACATTGTCATTAAAAATAACTGAATATCCATCCAAAAACTACTTCGAAACCGAAATTAAATTCTTCCGAAAACTCGGCACGTACAAAACATTCTTTAATACTAAAACAGAATCAGAAATAGATAAGTGCACATCTCCCACTGTAACCACCGCCACTCGTGTAGCGTTGCCCAAGCTGATGGTAATCTCGCCCTCACTGAGCTGCCTTTTTTGCAGAAACCCCTGCAAAGTATAACAAAAATGATCAGTGGCTCCTGTATCTACTACCCAAGAACTGGTAGAACAAGCCGCAAAGCATGTTTCGACAACTAAAGCAAGAGACGTACCCGGAGCGTCCTTGAGGGGACAATATGTCCTGTCTTGTTGCACTTGAAGCACTTGCCTTTCGGCTTCACCACGCCACCAGAAGGCGCTACCGCTTTCCTCCCACCACTCCCACTGCTCCCACTGGTTCCACCACTCTTTTTCTGCACTTGCCTTTTCTTCTTCCCGCCTTTCGACGAAGAAGATCCAACTTGTACAGAAACATGAGCTTGTGGTCCCCTTCCCATAAGACCCTCCGCTGCAACCAAGTCCGTAAGAAGCTCGGCTAGAGTATAACCCTTCTTATTCATGATTTCATCCAGGCGGAAGTTCTCATAGGACTTCGGGATCGAGTGCAGGATGATATCGATCTTGGCTTCGCCATCGATATTTCCTCCAAGCACATCTATCTCATTCAGATATTCCATCATCTTGAGAACATGCTCTCGCACAGAAGCTCCCTCTGGCATGACATAAGATATAATCTTCCTCATAGCCTCAAACTGAGCAGCCCTATCTTGCTCACCAAAGAGCTCCTTGAGGCTCAACATCATGTCAGCAGCAGTAGGCATGGTGTGATGCTGCTGTTGCAGAACATTTAACATGGATGCCAAGATGTAGCAACGAGCCATCTCATCAGCCTTATGCCACTTCCGATGAGCCTCCCTTTCCTCTTCAGTAGATTGGGCGCTCAAAGGAGCATGAGCAGGAGTGGTGAGCACAAACTTGTACTCGTCAGCAACAAGGACAATATCCAGATTTCTCTTCAAGTCCAAATAATTTGGACCAGTAAGCTTGTTTTGATTGAGAATGACCATAAGCGGATTGAATGACATGATGAATAACTGAAATAAATAATTGCAAACACGTAAGCAATGATTCACATAAATTTGAAGCAAAAAATATGGAAACCTTCAAAACCCATTATTTAATGCAACATTCGACAACTTAATGAACACACATGCAAGCCACGTTGGGTGGACTTTACACATATTTCAATAAGCAGACACCCAGTCATTAATCTCAATTGCGCGCCAACCTATCCTTATGGCGAATGAAATTAATAGTCGAAATTTTTAATACTTACCATGTGAATTAAAACAGGGACTCGGTTGGGGAGTTATATTAAAATTCACATCTAAGTGATGACCACAATTTAACCCCAAGAACAATCATCCACAATTGATGAACCTACCGATGGGGAAGACACATCGCTTGTAAATAATTTCATATGGTTATCTCGAAATAATCTTTACCGGTGAGCATATGAATGACACTATCCGTTAGGGAGGAGACCCCATGGGTCACGCGTATGCCACTCACTTCACCTAAAGGTTAAGTCGTTTGAATAGAAGTCTTATCTAGTAAGCTCATGAATGCCGTATCCGTTAGGGGGAGACTCCCAGGGTCCCACAAGCGACAAACACCTTACATAAAGACCAATTGTGGAGGCTAAATGAATTAATTAAAATTCATATTAAACTCACTTAGTCATTTTTACTTGAAGGTTTTTAACAACATGTAATAAGAAATAATAAAATTCCTATCATGCTCCTAACACGCAAATCACATAAATCCTAGCATGCTCCTAAAATTCAAAACAAAAGCAATAAACAGATTTCTATGAATTTATAGCACCTATTCACATGATTTCTAGCATGCCAAAATTCGATTTAAATCAGCTAGACACATAATCAAATAAACAGGCTCTAGCAAAATTAAATTGGCATCCACAAAGCGATAAAAAATGCAAAAATTAAAACACATCTATCGCAGCACCTTTCAAACCAACCACTAATAGCCTGTCAAAAAACCTATTACATGATTCAGCAAAGTCGTGGATGAACACTCGAATCGGCATCTCACGTAAATCGGGTCATTCACGCAATATCGACATCCACCGGCGGAAAAGGGCCGAAAACTTCATCTAGACGATTGACTTTGATCCCGCCACAGGCTGTAACGGCTTTGCCGTGACATGTGTAGATCTCGCTCTCCCGTTTCCGAAATGGTATTATGGGCTGATATCGGACACCTGTAGCAAATGTTATGGCCAAAACAGTTTTCGCCGACGAAAATGCCCCCGGTGAATGCTGAAACCCTAGCCGCCACCTACGGGTCGATCATCTTCATCATGTTCGACTTTGAACACAAAATTACAGCAAAAATCGAACAAGAACAGCCCTACTACAGTCTACAAAATCGCCTATACTACCAACACTTATTATCTGGTGGGAAAAACGATTACAACAATACACAAGGGCTGCGATAGACACCATCCAGAAGCATAAATGAGATAAACAATCATCCATACCATGAACATGACTGAAAACGAATAAATGAATAAATGAAATCAACTACATGTTCCAGGAAGAGCCGATAATCTACGAAACCGAGGCTCTGATACCAATTGCTGGAACACGCCGACGAGGTTGTCCTTCCCACGAATCGATATCGGATACCAAACACATACATACATGATTTCAAATTACCCTAAGCATGCTCCTAAAGTATGAACAGAGAAATACCTTTCTTCGAGGCTTTTATTCGATCTGAGCGATCTTCTAGTTTGTGTCCCGACCATGTTTGGACGTCGGATGGACGACGATCTACCAAACGGTTGAAAGCAGCAGATTGTGTTTCGTCTTCTCCGAACCCTTCGCGTGACTTTCTCCTCACGATGGTGGGTGAAGGTGTCACATTTTGTGATGCTGCGTGTAGGGTTCAAGACGTGTAATCCCTCCTTTTATAGAGGTCCTTGGGCCAGCCTAGGGATCTCTTAGAAGGTATAGGATTTGGGCTCCCTACAGGCCCAAATTCTTATGTTCAGCCCAGAACACAATTTGGCCCGTAAATATTAATTCAATCCACTAGAGAATTAATATTGCACTCCCGTCCTATCCCGAAATGAATCAGGGCTTCTATTAGACTCGATATAATTTTCCGTGTTTAAGATATCACACGTCCATTAATTATTAAAGCTTCTGACTGCTTTAATTAATCAATATCTTTTATTCCTTATGTAGTACCATTCAACCTTATTATCGTACAGATTAAATCCACCTGCAGGGTTTATACGATAATCCTTATGAGTTCCTTAAGGGGACGTCATCAACCTGGATGTCCAGGACACGGTGCCCTAATGCCAATAAATAGATATCATGCAGATAATGTTGTTACCCAAGATACAGAGCATATTGAACCAATACTTGGCTCTCACCATGGTAAATCAAAGTAACAAACAAATATCCCACATATCCAAGTATCACAATTAGGGTTAAGAATTAGTAGAGTCACCGAGACCTAGGTTCTTCATGATAGTCAGAATAGAAGAACACGTCTCAACTGTGATCCATCCAATGCGACGCAGCGCACTAGTATAAACCAATAGCCAAGACAAGCTATATCCAGTTTATACTACAACCTAAACCGATAGTCATGTCCATAACTATCTCAGTTGTGAATACCATTTATATCTTATAATTGACCGACAATGTAATCTTCTGTATGACTACTAACACACCACATTGTCTACAATATAAGATAATTAGACATTTAGCATACAAGCAATCATAAAGAATGCAACAATGTGAAAACATTTATTTCAGTCAATGGGAAATCGAATAAATACAATCCAAAAGCTCACATAAAAGTTTGCTTTACTGTATACCCCAACAGTCTCTGGATTCTGATGCTGATTCTGTTGAACGGGAGGTTGCCAAATATGTTGCTGAAAAATCAGATGACAAACATGCTGCGGACGAGGAACTTTCTCTTCCTGAGAAAGAAAAAACTGTTGTTGAAGTCGAGGGTGATGGTCCAGACAGTCCTCTTACTGTTGGTAATGCTTTCTCCCGTAAGTTTTATTCTCCTTTGGCTGAAACTTGTTTTTCTACCATCTTTTCTCAAATGAAGTTTCGTCCTGAGCGGACGATTGATAGCGAACATTATGAACAACTTGGATTGCTTGAACTTCTGAAGAAAGTGGCTCTTGAGGGTTCAGTCACGTCTGTTGGGAAGTATTGTCCCCGGCTTGTTGGTGAATTTTATTCGAACCTGACTACCTCTCTAGTTGATCCGTTCTCAAAAAGTTTTTAGAAAGTGTTTGTGCGTAATAGTGCGGTTGATTTCTCTCCATCTGTGGTGAACTCTGTACTTGGTTTAGCTGAAGGTTCCTCTCTTGGACCTCTGACTGACGATCTTGGTGAAGTTACTAGCACCTTGACCGGTGGACAACTAACCAAATGGCTTGCTTCGGGAATCTTTGTGAAGAGTCTAACTCCGCCTGCCAATGCTCTACATAAGATAGGAGCGTCAAATTGAACTCCTACCACTCACAAGCAGTTTGTCACCCCTACGCAAGCTCGTGTTATCTACCGTATTCTGAATGGTATCACATTTGATGTTGGTTCTGTGATCTTTACTGCTGTTGTGGGCTTTGCGGAAATCTCTAAGCCTCATAAGTTGATGTTATACCCATCTACCATATGTGCTATTCTCTTCGAGGCTGGTGTGAAAATGGATCCTCGACTTGGTGATAATTATGCACCTGTTAACAAACCTCTTGCCCTTGCCGGTGTTAAGGTTTCTCCTCCGAGTCCTTCTCTTGTTAAGGCCTCTGATGTACCTTCACAGCTTCGCGGCTTTTTAAATCAGCAAGTGGCAGTTTTCGCGGGACTTGAAAAGAAATTGGCTGATCAGCGAAGGTACTACAAAGAGGTTCTTGGTGCTTTAAAGTATCGTACCCCTTTGGTCTCTAAATCGAAAAAGGGGGAGAAAAAGAAGGATGTTGTTGTAGTTGTTGCAAAGAAGAAAGCTCTTGCTAAGGGGGAGAAGAAAACAATGTCTGCTGAAGAAAAGAAGAAAAAGGCGGTTATTGCTATTGCTAAGGAAAAAGGGAAAGAGAAGATTGTTGCCGCTAAGGACAAGGGAAAGGAGAAGGTTGTGGAAGAAGATGAAGGTTCAGAAGAAGGAGAGGATGAAGAAGCTGGGTCTGATGCCGAGGATGAGGAAGAGAAAGCAGGCTCAGAGGAAGGACTGAGGATGGTGCTGAAGAAGGTTCAGGGGAGGAATCTGACGAGGAAGAATCTGCATAGCCATCTCTCAGCAGGACTTTTGTGTTTGCTGAACTCCTTTATTTTCTATTTCTTTTACCTTTTGCTTGTGATGAACTTTTTCTTAGTATTCTGTGATTCAGGTATTCTAGTTGTTCTTATGAACAACACGTACAAATTGTGTTTAGATATCTTGTGGTTAATTAATATGCAGTGCAGAATATGTATCTCATCTTGTAGGTTCAAGAAAACGGTTTTCGATTTATCTTCCAAAGGGGAAGATTGTAGATTCTGGTTATTGGCAGTAAATGGATGAACTTTCTGATGATCACAGGATCCAGAAAGATGCGGGAGTATTTAAGGGAAGTCTATTTTTGGTATGAATAGGATCTGGTTTTATTTAAGTCAAATTGATTGATTATTTGTATTATTATCTTTGTAGGTCGACAAGATTGAGGGGGAGATTCACCTTCTATAATCGATGATTCACCTTCCATAATCGATGATGAAGAAGATCACAAAATTCACCTTCCATAATCGAAGATGAAGAAGATCGAGAGAGTTACATTCCTTATGCGCATTTGTCTTGGGTGAAAAGACTTTCCAAAGGATGCTGAAGATAAAAGGAGGACGAGACCAGAGTTGAGGAGTGCCTTTGATCTGAATTTTTGAGTTAGATATATTTTCTTTCCTTGAGTGAAAAAGAGTGATATTTAGAACATTTTGTAAAAGAACGTTCAGAGGTTCGTTCTTATAGTTTGACGGATTCGAACTAGAAAATCCACATGGGAGTTATGGTCAGATAAGTAGTTGTGTGAATCATTATTCAAGTAGAGTGTAGAGGGAGTCTATACTGTA